GGAGCACAAATAAGCCCTAAGATAAGGGCTTTTTTGGGATCCCTCTCTCTCCCCTCCCTCCCCCCAGTCTCCATGAGAAAACAAACCACAAACAAGAATTGAAGGCACCAACACCTGCACAAGGACAAGCAACGATCAACTACAGTTGAACTTTGCGACGCGGGTGACGTATTTAAATAAGTTGGCTTGCCCCATGCAAAAATGAGTTATTGCTTTCGACCAATAGCCTTCAGTTGCTCGTTTCCGACCACCCCACACCCAAATAATCTCACCCCCGTATTAATGAATGACCCCAATTATTTTTTTATTTAAAAAAAAAAAAAAAAAAAAAAAACGGGGCCCGGGACCAGATTTCCACTCCGCGCAATTTATTTTTAATTGAGCCAATACTAAACCCTTACTAAAGTCTTGGAATCCTTATTAGGGGGGCACTTTTAACAAGCTTCCAGCCCTACTTTTAAAAAGGTGGGTTCCCCAAAAGGTTGTTTAATTGGGTCCTTTATTAAGGTGGCGTCCCTCAAAAGAAAACATGTCCCCAAAAGCTGCGACTGTGTCTCTCCCGTACATGCTGGCTAGTTAATTACCTAACCTGCCTGGCTGCCGCAAACAAACAACCAGTAAACTGAAAAACACATAGAATGATACATAAAAAAAATCCTTATTAAACCGCTTACTCGCGGACCGTACAATTCAATCCATTTTCTCCAAATCCTATGTGAACCCTCACATCGTTGGAAAAGCAAAACACCCAACCCCAAAAACCCTAATTTAAAAAAGGGTGGATTTTTGTATATATGTTTTTATAATTGGGGGAGGGGGGGGACCCGTATTTATTAATAGGGGGTGAGATTATGGAGTAAAATTCCACATCAACGTCTGGCAGACCCCATGTTGGTACATACTCAACGTGTCCTTGTTTGAGCAACGCACAACAATTTGCATGGAAACATAACTGAGATGGTGGACGCACTGGGTGAGAATGCCTCACCCCTGCCCCCTCCTCCCTGCAGTTGCAAGTCGCAATGAGAGCCGCAGCCTCCTTCATGCCTCCAAGGCTAAAGCCCAAGGCATCTGCAAACCTCCGTCGTGCGCCCGTGCAATCATAGCTGGGCATATGTTTTGCATCCGCTTGCTCAAGCTTTCTCCTCAAGCTTTCTCATTGCGTTGTGTACACCTTTGAATCCAAGATCCAATCTCAGGTTGACCCCTGATCAACATGTCCAATCCCCCACCCGAGCGCACGAGTTCCGCTGCTTCAGTGGAAACGCGTTGCGCGAAAGAGAGCAGCAGTGTGCCCGAAGCGGATTCAAAGGAACAGGTGAGGTCTACCGCGCATTCCCGGGATGGGAATGCCAGCTCGTAAGAGAACGCAACAATAAATCAACGCAACGTGGTGATGTCCCACAATGTGGTGATTTCCCACAATGGAAACTCCCTCTCATGATCCAGAGAGGGTTCACTCCTGCTTTGCTCAAACACCATCCACACACAATAACTACAAAGCAGAAGTACGAAGAGATACTTCAAGAGAAAATCTTCGAACCTCTGTGTCCGTTCGTTCAGTGCCCGTTGCCCAGAAAGCTCAGGGCCCCCTTCGATCGAACCCGTCCATTTTTTTGCAAGGAGCTCAACAGGCAAGCCTCCGCCACAGCTTATACTTTTGGGGAAACACCCGGATTGTTCACATATGCGCTTGAGCTCAGGAACTCACCGCGCAACACAGAATCCGGTCTGTGATTCGTCCGGATTCAATCCTTGCTAGTGGCGCAAAGGCTATCCGGCAAGCCTGCTGTACGGCACAAGTGGACTTCGTGCGATGCATGTTTACAACATGGGCGAATATGGTAATCGTCTGAATTACCAGCTGGTTGCTGGGATTCTCTCAGGGTTGGAACTGCCTAATGGAAAGCAACCAAAGCACACCCCATACGCAATAGAGTTTGCAATATGTGCCAAGCTTCAAGCACTTCACCAGAACATGGACACGAAGATCAAGCAGAAACGCAAGATAATCACTTTCCTGTCAGATCGCAAATGTGGTTGGCAGGTCTTCTGCCCCTATCCCTTAATCAGGACGGACGAACAACAACCATGACGGGTCTGTAATTTCAGTGTCGCACCAGGCACATCATTCTCTCATATGCTGCACCCAACGCCCCAGTCACTCGACAACGAAGCAGGTCATGACTTGTAGGGGTTGACAATGGTTCCTTGAGGAATCCAACATATTCAAAGCAGACAGTACAGCTGGTTTTTTGACCCTAGCAGAAAGGGATATGTGTCAAAGTAGCAGAACCCCAAAATGGGTGTGGTTTCCTTCTGGTTGTCCTTCAAACCAAGCTAAAAAGGATACCCCTGAAACACACACACACACACCCACGCAAGCAAGCACGCACGCACGCACGCAAGGACGCACGGACGCACGCACGGACGCACGGACGCAAGGACGCACGGACGCACGGACGCACGCACGCACACACGCACGCACGGACGCACGCACGCACGCACACACGCACGCACGTACGCACGCACGCACGCACACACCGACACACACCGACACACACACACACACACAGACACAGACACAGACACAGGCACAGGCACAGACACAGAGACACACACACACACACAAACACCACACCACACACACAAATGAATCAGCGCAAAAGCTACCCGTCCGACTCTATGAAACGAAGTGACATCAGGCCCGTGGTCAGGATCAAGTATCCGCCCACAGCAGCGACCACACGCGACACACCGCTGACATTGCTCCTCAGTCTCCAGGATTTCACATAAAGGTATGTCGAAGAATAATAGTGACAATGCGCAACCAAAACCGCAACAAAGCAAGCAAGCTGCTTGCTTGAAGTCGTTCAGGGTCCCTTGCGGATCTATGAAAAGACCCTCATAAACAAATATGGTGTCATACCGTACATCAGGTAGTTGTATCCCCCCTCGTCAGGCAGTGCGCATATCACCCAGAGACCCAGAGTTGCGTCCACATAATGAACAAAGCCAAGAAACCAAAACCAACAATGCACCCTTGCTCATGGTGCATTGCTCGCTTCACCTGCCGCATCGGTGGAATCGGGGGTTTGCCTGTGTTCAGCGATCCGAGCAGGCATCACAATACTCACTCCCAAGAAGTTTCTACCCGCAAATCAGGGGTCCTAGCTGCAACCAGTGATTTTCCACGGGGAGAGGCCTGTGTCTTCAAGACTAAAGTCATTTGGAGAGGGGAAACGCGTTTTAAAAACGAACAACTTGTGCCACGGAACAACTGGTCACAGTGTTGCGCTACAGAATGTTACAAATGTTTAGTTCCCTTTGGGGTACAGCGTTCGGGTACTGACTCATCATGTCCGGATTCAGCAAATTGGCACGGTACTAGCAGGGTCTTTTCACGAGTTGAGGATCTTCAAGGGGCCACATTGCGCAATAACCCGCTAAGGGCTCGTTGGATCTTGGTTCAATACTAGTCTTGAACATGCCGTTAGGAACAGCAGAGCTGATGATACTGCAACCGATCTGCTGAAACAGCACATGACATGCCCCAAAAGGGGATTTTACAGGAAAAACAAGTTGAAATGTGATCTGATCGTGAGACCTGTGAAATGCCAACTAATAAGAGGGTCTAAACATGGTGAATCTCGCTTTGACTGGTCTTGGAAAAAGATGACGGCAGCCATCTGTGAGAGGCTGTTCAGAACCACGGCACTTCGCAAGTGCCGTCCAGTTGCAGGGCGAAGACTGCGGCAACCGCCAGCACTGGATGTTGCTCCATGGAGTCCATAGCTCAAGCACGAGAGGCTGACTGGATCCCACAGATCGGCCGCTGCCTTGTGTTGTTGCATGACTGACTTACGGATTACAGGCGCAAGAACTCAGTTGCACTCCTCCGCTGGCAGAAAACATCCACCGTTTCGGTTTGTTGCAACTCACATAACCGCAAATGTGCGCATTCATCAAATGATCAATGACAACGTAAAGCGCGGAAGGATCATGCCCTTCTGGGGACGCCTGGTGGCCAACTGCCGCCCGGCAAATTGTTCGCGTAACAGGCCTCCGATAAAATCGGTTTGCTGAAGTATGCTGCTCGGTTGTCTGCTCCATGCCGCACCTTAAGCCTACTGCGATGCGGCCAGCGGAAGGTCATCCTTCCCACAGCTCCGGCATCGGTATATTTTGGTCAAGCGACATGGACTTCAATTGGAAGACTGCACGCTGGGTGAACCGTAAAGTTCTTCAATGCAAGGAAAGACATCAGTCACAAACATACTGGCAGCATTCTACTTCATTACACGGGTCCCAAGCAGGTGGCTAGGTACTGGGACTATTCTCGGTAGCGTTGTTTTGATCTTCTTCGTTTTGACACCAACCAAAAGTCCTAGTCTCCAGACATCTCTCCTGCAAACGACGACGCCTGGAAAGCAATCACAACACAACATACGCACACACAAGCACCCCTTGGTCACAACAGCCATGATGGCAACTGTGCCTTTTGGCAGCTTTGTCATGCGTGCCCGCCTCGCAAACAAGGCAACAGGCTGCGCGTAAAAAACGAAAAACAAAACAGGCTGTATGTCTCATTAACGTTCAATAATTCAGGGCAGGGGGCATAGTAATTAGTAATTACCAAAGCTGTACTTGCTAAAACGTGCTTAAAGCAAAACAATTAAACGAACACACTTGCGGACTCATGCACACTTGCCCCAATGCCCCCTATCCGGTTCTTTTCTCTGGGTAGTTCTAAATTGCGGATTGGCCAATCCTGGACCAAGTGACAAACCACTGCGAAGGAAACAACTTGCGTGACCCCTTGGAGAATGATTTCTTGGCCTGTTGCCTTGCCTTTCAAACGCCCCGGCTTGTCCTTTTGGCCATGTTGTGCGAAGATGCTGTAATGCAGCCTGAGGACCACCCCGGAACAGCCTCAGCCTAAGCAATCATGATCAAGGGAACCAGTCCGAGCGCAGCTTTGGGCCCCCTAAGCTCCCTGCACAGCTTCATCTGCGCACGCTGGCTTCCGGCAGTGACCGCCTGCTACAAAGCATTTACCCAACGTGCACGTCGAAATCTGAGTGGGCCACTTCAACTTTGAATGGACATATGCTATGATTGGTGGGCATCCGCAAGACCTTCTGCCAGAACTTCCGTGGGCTGCCGCAGCTCTTTGCTGAATTCGTGACCGGTTGCTTTCAAAAGCGATGGCGTTTGCTTTGCTTGCTTGTCAAGTACGCGCTAGGTGCCATCCGCAACTGGTGGTTGATCAATATTTCTGGGACCTGTCCGATGCAGGTGCTATCAGGCCCGGAATCGACACCATCTATGCCTATAAAAGTGCGCTTCCTGAACAGCGGCTGCCAAACGGGGGGGAAGGGTCCCCCGTTTGCTTGCTTGGGTTGTGAAGTCTGTCGAATGGGAAACATGTTGACATATTGATTATTGTATCCTCCTTGCGCGCGCCCAACAATGCCCTCGTATACCTAAATGCAAATCATGGAGGTGTGTGAGCAAAATATCAATGTGTATACACGCAACATGTTGAGCTGACGGGGGGGTTGCCCGGACTTTCATGCTGTTGCGCGTGCCGATCCTCAGCCTGTTCGCCGCTGTCGAGGGGAGGGGGGGGGGAGTCCATGTTTTCAGCCCTACACCCCATGCGACTTCTCCGCTATCTGCGTGCTCTATGCGACTGCGCGGTCCCAGTTGCTTATCTGACACGCTGCCACTTTGCGGCAGGTGGTTTTAGACACCTGGTGTCTAAGAGGGCTTGGGGTCTTCTTGCGTTTGAAGGAGCCACCTTGCCATTTGCTGCTCTTTGTCTCCGCTGCGCTCTCGGTGCCGAGCAGGAACGCAAGTTCTGCCAGCGAGTTATCAGCGCAGCTCATGACTTGTCTGCATATACAAGGCAGCCCGGCCTGGACAGCTGCATGAAAGTGTTGGTGGCATTCTGAAGGTCTCTCTCTAAGAGAGTCAGCCACAGTCCTCGAGCCTGCTTCGAGCAACTGAAAATGCTGCGCCTGACACCTGGACATTTGCAGACTTTCCTGTGATCCCACCGACGCCACAATTTACTGCTATTTGGATAGGATTTAATTCCCAACCCACGTCCAAGAGTGACTGTCATTTGGTCCGGGCAACCCCCCCCGGCAACCCAACATGTTGTATAATATCTATATATATATATGGGTGTGGGTCAATATTCTGGTGTGGAACGTTCCGCGGTGACGCGGACGTCTGGAACGAGTCAGTTACGTAAGGCTGGTTGTTCCGGACCTCTGGGAAGACATGTGTGGAGTCCTCAAGCACACAACCTAAGACTACTTTAGGCGATTTCGAGCAACACGTTTTCGTTTTTGGGGCTTCGCTATATCGTTCTGCAATGTTTCAGACACTGGTGTGTTTATGTCAAGGAAGGGTGGAAGGGGGAAAGAGAAAGAATGGAGGAAGAGAGCAGAGGAAGAGAAACTGGGAGGAAGAGAAAGCAGGAGGAGAAAGGACGAAGGGAAGAAGGATGGGAAGGAAGGGATAAAGGAATCCAGGGAGTAAGGGAGCAAGGAAGGATGGGGCAAGGGAAAAAGGAGGGTGGAAGGGAAGGGAGGAAGAGGAAGGGAGGAAGAGGAAGGGAGGAAGAGGAAGGGAGGCAGGGCAGAAGAGGAAGGGAGGCAGGGCAGAAGAAGAAGGAAGGGAGCAAGGGAAGAAGGCAGGAAGGCAGGAAGGCAGGAAGGCAGGAAGGCAGGAAGGGTGTAGATGCTGCGCCTCCCCACAAGCTGCATGACATGTTTTTTGACGCTGGTTCCAGACCGCCCACAAGCATGGGAGGTGGAGCAGGGCCCACACGCTGACCACCACTGATTGATGGGTAAGCGGTGGCCCGCCTTTTGTGCTTTCCGGGTGTCGTTGAGGTATCGTTCAGAGTATCGTTCAGACAGCCCTCCAAAACCAGAAAATTTTGCCCATATTCTCTCAGTCCAGGGCATGTGCCAAAACCAGCTACACGTTGCGTGCGTGCGCCTCGCAGCCCGGACTGCTGTCCGGTGACTTGGTAGTTGCAAGCGAGACTTATAAACAACTTGAAGCACAGCAGCACCATGCGAGCACGAGGGGTGTGGTTTCGGTGTCGTCTTGGGTATCGTTTTGAGCAAGCAGTACTTCGGTGGCCAAAAATGCAGTTCACACTCCCCGAATGATCCGAAAAGGTGTTTTCGACGCAACAAAATTACTTTTGGGTATGGTTTGGCGTGCCGACTGTGGCGCCTGCGGGTGCAAGCAAGAAGCATGAGCAGTAGGAAGGAGAGCAATCGGTGGCCCAGAATGCAGTTCACACCCCCCGAATGATCCGAAAAGGTGTTTTCGACGCTCTAAAATTACTTTTGGGTATGGTTTGGCGTGCCGACTGTGGCGCCTGCGGGTGCAAGCAAGAAGCATGAGCAGTAGGAAGGAGAGCAATCGGTGGCCCAGAATGCAGTTCACACCCCCCGAATGATCCGAAAAGGTGTTTTCGACGCTCTAAAATTACTTTTGGGTATGGTTTGGCATGCCGACCGTGGCGCCTGCGGGCGCAAGCTTTTGGGTATGGTTTGGCGCGCCGACTGCGGCGCCTGCGGGTGCAAGCAAGAAGCATGAGCAGTAGGAAGGAGAGCAATCGGTGGCCCAGAATGCAGTTCACACTCTTCGAGTGATCCGAAAAGGTGTCTTCGACGCTCCAAAATTACTTTTGGGTATGGTTTGGCGCGCCGACTCTGGCGCCTGCGGGTGCAAGCAAGAAGCATGAGTAGGAAGGAGAGCAATCGGTGGCCCAGAATGCAGTTCAGAGTGATCCGAAAAGGTGTTTTCGACGCTCCAAAACTTTTGGGTATGGTTTGCCGACTGTGGCGCCTGCGGGTGCAAGCAAGAAGCATGAGCAGTAGGAAGGAGAGCAATCGGTGGCCCAGAATGCAGTTCACACCCCCCGAATGATCCGAAAAGGTGTTTTCGACGCTCTAAAATTACTTTTGGGTATGGTTTGGCATGCCGACCGTGGCGCCTGCGGGCGCAAGCAAGAAGCGTGAGCAGTAGGAAGGAGAGCAAGCACCCAGAATGTAGTTCACCCGCGAATGATCGGAAAAGGTGTCTTCGACGCTCCAAAATTACTTTTGGGTATGGTTTGGCGCGCCGACTGTGGCGCCTGCGGGTGCAAGCAAGAAGCATGAGCAGTAGGAAGGAGAGCAATCGGTGGCCCAGAATGCAGTTCACACTCCCCGAGTGATCCGAAAAGGTGTTTTCGACGCTCCAAAATTACTTTTGGGTATGGTTTGGCATGCCGACTGTGGCGCCTGCGGGTGCAAGCAAGAAGCATGAGCAGCAGGAAGGAGAGCAATCGGTGGCCCAGAACCTGGGTGGCCATTTGACCGCATTTCTTGCAGCCATTGGTCGTTGGAGCATTTGGCCGTGAAAAAACACACTGGCCGTGAAAACGGGCAATGGCCGTGAAAAGCCAACGTTTGGCCGTGAAAATTCAAGGCTCAAAGATTTCTATGTTTGATTGTATGTGTTTGTCTGTTGTTTTTTGTTTGTTTGCTCGTTTGTTTGTCTGTGTGTTTGTTTCCGCGTGTGTTTGAGTGTCTGTCTGTCTGTCTGTCCGTCTGCCTGTCTGCCTGTTGCTTGCGTGCTTGCGTGCTTGCGTGCTTGCGTGCTTGCGTGCTTGCGTGCTTGCTTGCGTGCTTGCGTGCTTGCGTGCTTGCGTGCTTGCGTGTTTGCGTGCTTGCTCGCTCGCTCGCTCGCTCGCTCGCTCGCTCGCTTGCTTGCTTGCTTGCTTGCTTGCTTGCTTGTTCTGCTTGCTTGATTGCTCGTTTTGCTTGCCCGTGTTTTGTTTGTTCTGGTCGCTGTGTTTTTTGTTGTTTTGCTGGTTTGCTTGTTCGTTCGTTCGGTTGTTCCTTTGCTTGCTTGTTTGCGCGTCGTTTCTTTGTTGTTGTTGTTGTTGTTGTTGTTGTTGTTGTTGTTGTTGTTGTTGTTGTTGTTGTTGTTGTTGTTGTTGTTGTTGTTGTTGTTGTTGTTGTTGTTTTCTTGTTGCCTGTTTTGTTGGTTGGTGTCTTTCGTTCTTTCTTTCTTTCTTTGTCTTTCTTTCTTTCTTTCTTTCTTTCTTTCTTTCTTTTTTTGCTTTTTTATTTCTTTATTTGTGTGTCTTTCATTCCTTCTGTCTGTTTTTCGTTCTGTATTTCGTTTGTTCTTTGTTTCTTTCCTTCCTTCCTTAAATTATTTCTTTCTTTCTTTATTTCTTTCTTTCTTTCTTTCTTGGTGCATTTGTTTGGTGTTTGCTACTGTGTTGCTTTGATAGTTTTGGTGTGTTTAGTTTATCGTTTGTTGTTGTGTTGTGTCTCTTCTTGTCTCTTCTTGTCTTGTCTTGTCTTGTCTCGTCTCGTCTCGTCTCGTCTCGTCTTGTCTTGTCTTGTCTTGTCTTGTCTGTCTGTCTGTCTGTCTGCTTGTTTGTTGATTGTTTGAGTTATTCGGTTGGTTGGCTGTTTGGTTTGCTTAGTTTGCTGCTTGGTTGTTTGGTTTGGCGTGGCTTGATGTGTTTGATTTTTTGCTTTTTTGTTTGTTTGTCTATCTTATCTGTCTGTTTCTTTTGCGCTTGCTTGCTTACTTGCTTCCTTTTTTTGCCTTGCTTCCTTGCTTTCCTTTCTGGCTTGCCCGCTTGCGCGCTTGCTTCCTTCTCGCTGCTGGTTTGTGTTTGCTTGTTTGTTTGTTTGCTTGTGTGTTTGTTTGTTTGTTTGTTTGCTTGTTTGTTTGCTTGTTTGGCTTGTTTGTCTGTTTGTACGCTTGCTTGCCTGTCTGTTCTCTGATTGATTGTTTGTTGTTACGTTTGTTTCGTAGTTGGCCTTTCCGTTTTTTGTCCTGTCCATCTCGTTTATTTGTTTGCCTGTCTGTATGTTTGTTTGTCATTTGTTTGGTGTTTCGATTGTTTGTGCGCTTGTCTGTTCATCCGTTGCTTGGCTCAAAGAACAAAAAGTTGCTCGGCGCAGGAGCGCCTATGGTTTTGTAGTTGGGGGATGACAAAC